TAACTGTAATTTAGATAGTAGTACACATAGAATAAGATTACACTAAAGCAATAATAAATAATAATAATAATAATAATTATAATTATAATTATTATTATTATTATTATTGATCATGAAGAATTTTTTCATCCTTTCACTGACTTGTTTTTAGCCTCAATTTTCGCCTATAAGTAGTTACAGCAGTACAACTCAAGGGTCCTTTGGTAAATCCGTGTAATCTTTTTATAAATAATTTAGATGCAAATATTACCTGTGGTGAACTTTTTAATCATTTCCGTAAATACGGTCGTATTATCAGTGCTCGAGTAATAGAGATCAAGAAACCAACACGTCTAAAGGTTTCGGATTTGCAAGTTATACCACTGCTGAGGCGACTAATCGAGCTAAGCTGTCGATGAACAATAGAACCCTTGGGACAAAACAAATTATTGCTAGACTTCATGAATCAAAAAAAATGGGTGCTGCCAATAATTTCAATACTACTTCAGAATCTCGTCGAAATTTCGACCAGTATCCTATCAAGGCGGTCAATGAATAGGATCAAGAAGCTCTTTCTGGACTCGCGCCAAAATACGAACTGAAATTTTGAGTTCTGAATTAGGAATAAGAATTGATTCTCAACCCAGAATCGATTATAAAATCGATTAACAATTTCGATTAATCGATTAATCGTTTTAAATAAATATGTCCTCATTGTACATGTATTTGGGACATGAAAGTTTATGAACATTTAATACAATATCGATATAAAAAGTATCAATGATCAGCATTTGTAATGTTCTTTGTGCTCGGAAAATTTTGGTACGTTACATATAATCTACGGAAAGTAAAGGGGAGTAGGTTACTTCTGACGAGCACTGTAATCTTTAAATCGAGCAATAAGGTTATTTTAATCAGGAAGAGGTTTAGCACAAAAGATATCTTTTTTCACATATAATTCATATACTAACTTCATGGGACGACATGAACTACATATATTTCATGGAATTGGAAACGGAATTATCAAATTTCTTAGGAAGAACGAACTTATCATATTATGACGAAATAATTTTAGAATCATCTCAATTTATTATTCTTTCTTCAAGGCACTATTACGAAACGAACAAAACTGATCATGCTTATCCACTACTAATGCACAAATTTGCGAATAAAACTAAAATATCCGAAGAAATTGTTGAACATAAATTGAATAATTGCATAATATAGAAACACTTGTTTTCCATCAGCCGTAAAAAATCGTAAGATATAATCTCAAAACGGGCGAACTCGATAAACTGTTTAAGGTTGTGAACGAAAAATATAGCTATCATGAGGATTCTAAGCCTGGATACAACTAAATCAAGCGATATGAACTTTTACCTATATTCGCGGTTTCCGTGGAACATGACGAGTATGACGAATCAAAATATTTAGCGGCTACAATGGGTGAAAATTCATTCATGATATACTTTCTTCCCAATACAATCGATTTGATAACATGCGAATTACCTAATAAAAATGCAAAAATCAAGTTTATGGCATTTATTGCGAAGAATACAAAACTTTTTATAGTTGATTTGGAACATGCCGGGAACCTCAAGCTTTGAACGTGATCAAGTTCAGATTTTGATGGACATTGCTGGAAAGTTTAATATCACAATCAAACACAGCGATGTACATTTAATGACGTTGATGATTTTGAATTCTTTTAAAATAAAAAACGGAATTTACTTTAAGAAAAAGAAAATTCCAATTATTTTACTCGTGCATAGAAACAGCAATTTATCATGGTTTTTTGTGGACGAGGAAAAGATAATAAATTGTAAAAGTATCAAAAACAAACAAATAAAAATAATATTTTCAAAAAACGAAAAATCAACAAATGAACCAGAAACTTTATTGAACATTTGGTCGATTCCTTCAATTTACTCAAGATAGATCCTACCATAACTCTTGAACATGACAACGATAGTTTAGTCGCAATTGATAAAGTAAAAATAAAGGTAAAATCGCCAGACGGAACATTCGAACATTTCGTTAAAATAGAGCCGGATGCAATGTCCATGCTAGGAATGATAAGTGCCTTGGAATTGATACTAAAACAAAAACAAGAACTCGAAAAGGAGGGAAGAAAGCAAAGAAAAGTGGCTGTTGATAAAAAGATGACAGAGCTCAATACTCTTCAGCAAAACATAAAACAAGCCGCATCTGGCATTGTTGAAAAAGCGATCATTGAACAGGATAATTTCCGAATATTATATGTTCGTTTTCGTATCGTGGCAACAATGATCGAATCAGACTTAACAACAGTAGTTCGTGGAAAGATTTTAATTAAGCCTAAGTTACAATTACATGTTCCAGAACGAGTTTTTCAATATCAAAATGAAATAAAGTATAACTTTGTATGGTTTCTTCCTAAACCAATAGTTGATAAAGAGGATCGTATAAGTTTCAGCACGACACAGTAGAATCTCTTTTAAAATATTGATTTCCATTGGCGTCATTATACCAGTGTCTTTATTGTTATACGGTTTTTATTATATGTTCTTTACGCAATAGTATTTGTGTGGCAAAGTTATACACATTTAAATAAGATTGTGTGTGGAATAGCAGTCGGGACTTTATTTAAGCTTGTTTCCATCGTAATGTGTGGGTTTGCATATATACATTTTATTGGAAATGTACGAAGAGTTCGTTATATACCCTGGTCACAACATTTTATACGCATGGTTCAGCATAGACGTTATGGGTACATACGCGCTATGTCGACTTGCTGCTGTTGCCGTAGCAACACGAAATTCTCTAATTCCATAATTTCTTCGTAATTTATATTATTTATCACATACCACCCTATTTCAAATGACTATTGTATTACGATGATCATTTATTATCATTATTACTACATGTATTTTTAACCTTCATGATCATCATCGTAATTATCGTTATGTTTGGTGGGCCAATTTTACATTTTTTGGTACGTATTATCGAGCTGATAACTTCCAGCTGAAGTTGATAATTGCTAGTGAATACTTTGCTTGTGAATAATTTCTAGCCGATATTTTTGTTTCTATTTTTGTAAGTCTATAGAACGAAATGTGTAATTAGTATGGTTGAAGGATTGTTATAAAAGGAGCTTCTTTCAAGTAGAAAAGCTCATGCTCTGAAAAGTGCCAACTTGTAAAATATACTTAATTGTTAACAAATCTTTTCCTTGATCACCTTCAAAGCTTGTGTACAAGTAGAAGAAGACCTCTACTATAAATAAGCCATACCACGATTTTGGAATTATAGTATCTTGTTGGCCGCATCAATAAGTCCAACTCTTTTGTGTTAAAGCGCTTTTGGATATTTATGAACATCGATTTGTTTTGTAGGTCGTATCAATAAATCCTACTTATCAATTAAAGTAATTAAAGTTTAGTTAGTATTTACCGAAAACACCTTTACTTAAAAAGACCCTTACCTTTCATTGGTGTTGATTTTCGTAAAAATCATCACAGGAGACCTTTAGAACTTTAAGAGAACCCCTCTTTTAGTAGAGCATTCAGTCTAACTCATAATTAATGTGTTGTGATCTCTTCGCCGGTTGAACAAACTTTCGAGGAGACATAACACTACCTTCCGAAGGCACAAGAAAAGAAGATCTTTATCAACAGTAGAATAAACAATGTCAAGCTGAGGTTATCTTTTACTCATTGGCCGGATTATTAATATGGATTGTTTTTGTAAGTACTCCATGAATTGTTTGTTTGATATGTTAAGATGATACTTTATCTAAAATTGCTATAAATTTTAGTTCTTTCAAATGCGATTTTGCCATGCAAGTTCTTGATTTTGATTTATACGATTTATATTATCTGAACCAAGCTTATCTATCTATAACCAACTTGATATAAATAGTGTTCGGGAAGTATATTTTCATTATTATCAATGTTATAATACACATGATTTGGATTCCTTCTTTCGCAGTTATTTATTATTGTAGGCTTCGCAATCTCTATGTAAGTTGTTCCTTAGCTTTCTTTTTATCGTTTACACTAAATTGACTATAAATAAAAATACGCACCATAAAAAGACCCGTACATAAACCGGAAAGTACTTTATAAGGGAGGGTACTATACAGAGCGTTTTACGGTACTTCTGTTACCAAATTCGTATTATGCATTATAACGGACGATATAGCGAATTCAACCTCTTCGCAAAGTTACCCTTTGGCTCAGGACTTAACCGCCTCGCAAAGTTGTACAAATCACGTTTTAAACCCGTTTAATATAAACATTTAATAACGATAAAGTTTATTTCCTTATTTTCCAATAAACAAAAATTTGTAATAATATAACTTTATAAATATATATTTTTATTTTCAGGAATACATATATAATATTACTATGCTATTTTCACAGGAGTTACAGCAGCAAGAACCCGATCTTTAGCAATTTACGCTTTACAACACGTAGGGATGAAACCACGCATACCCGGGCAAGAACATTGGTAGAGTCGTCCATTGTGTTTTATGGTGTATTCACCGTCGTCAAAGAATGGTTCGGGTTCAGGAATTGGATGGGGTACTGCGTCAGATAAAGCGAAAAGACAGGTTGCTAGAAGCAAAGCGACCACGAAAAGTTGTTTGGATGTAGTCATTTTATGTTTATATTCGAGTTGCTTGTTGATTTTCGGATGTATGTTTGTACTTTGAAAGTGATTTGGGAGAGAGTATGAGTGATTCTTTTTATAAGAAAAGTTTCTGTCTGAAACACTTGTTGATTAAACACACTGCAAATGACAATGAAAACACTATACTAAATACCAGAGTAATGCTATTATTAATAATTCATAGCGATAGCAAATGACAATGAAAACACTATACTAAATACCAGCGTAATGCTATTATTAATAATTCATAGCGATAGCAAATGACAATGAAAACACTACAACTGACAATAAAAAAATGCTTATAGGGCAGCGAGTGTCAATGAGTTTACCTATTTATTCTTGATCGTGTGAATAAAAAAACGTATAAAATATTTCTAAAATACTCTGGTACATGTATTGTGTTTTCATTGTCATCATTTGTTGTTTTCATTGTCATTTGCTATGAATTATTAATAATAGCATTACTCTGGTATTTAGTATAGTGATTTGCATCAAGCTATTTTTCAAAAATAAGCATTTGTTTTGAATTTTTGCGTTGCACATTGATCTTACGATTTGATTTTTAAGGGGAAATCGGACGGTCGGCATCGGGATCAGAATCAGAATCACATGATCCGCCCTTTTTCTTACATTCGTAACGCCATTTCAACGATCCTCTAATTTTTTATATATAGCGATAGGTCCAATGTGTTTAATTAATGGCTCGGCGAATGCATAAACATTGTACGCTATGCTAATTTTACAGGAGTTACCCGATCTTTAGCGATTAGACGTAGTACGTAAATACGTACCGAATACGGGATGCATCTATGTACACCCCCATCCGATTTGGTAATAAAAATAGCATTGCGTATTTTCGGAAATTTCTACCGTAATAAAGATTAAAGTTAAAGAATGGTTTTAAGATTAGGGTTAAGGATACGGTTAGGGTTGGCGATTCAGATTATATATAAAATTATCTTCCCGACATTTTTTATTAGTACTCCGGACCAGATTTAGACATTTGTTTCTTGTATTTTTCTCACATTTTTCATTTTTTTTGTGTCGGTTTGTTTTTCCGAGTTGATCAAAAATTTATGCATTCTTATTGGCTGTTTTTATCATAACCAAATCGGGTGGGGGTGTACATAGATGCATCCCGTCTAATCGCTAAAGATCGGGTAACTCCTGTAAAATCAGCATAGCGTACAATGATTTATGCTATTAATTAACACATTGGACCTATCGCTATCGCTATATAAAAAATTAGAGGATCGTTGAAATGGTGTTACGAATGTAATAAGAAAAGGGCGGATCATGTGATTCTGATCCCGATGCCGACTCTAATGATACCTGACGAAACTATTTTCATGATGACGAAACATTTCGTCACTTCATTCGTCAGACGAAACCCTTGACGA